GTTATTTCAAGGGAGGTGGGGCACATTATTGCTGTGCATTGACTTCAGAGCTAGGCAGTTGGAGAGCAGTGGCTGTTGGCCTGGCACCAAGCTCTGAAGTTCATGCCCTGCCAGCAACCGTACAGACATAAGGATGGCAATACTAGACCATGCTGAATTACCCATGTACTGCTGTCTTTAGAGCTAGGTGTCTGGGTAATGGCAGCTACTAACTGAGGGCCCTGCTCTACAAGCAGCAGCACAGAAGTAAAAGTGGCAGTACCATACTGTGGCATCCTTACATTTGTGTTGCTGCTGCTAGCAGCAGTGCTATCTTCAGAGCTGGACTCCCAGCCTGTAGCCACCGACCTTCAACTACCCAGCTCTGAAGGCAGCGTTCAGTCAGCAGTATAGAAGAAAGGCAACAGTATCGCGCAACTCCCCTTATAACAATCTTGCAACCCCACCACAATTGCAACACCGTGACATTTCAGATTTAAATATCTGAAATAAGGAAATGTACAATTTTGAATCTTCTATAACAATTATATTGACCCAAATGGATTGTGAATTTTGTATACATAAATAAAGTGCAAATCAGACAATTTTAGAATTTTCAGCTACTCCTACTATCAAGTGGAAGTTATAGTTCAAATATGCTTTAGAGCTGTACTTTAGACAGTGATTAGGAAAAGTATTCACAGAAATACTTTCAAACGGTTACGATAAAACACCATCCTTTAGAGGCAGATGCTCGATGACTCATGAACTATACTAGCCACACGGGGCTGGGATGGCTTTGCAGCCTGCAGCATCTGCCCCCTTCAAGCCTATTTTATCTTTCTGGGTCATAAGAAACAAAGCAGTATGCTTGGCAGCCATAAATAATGGCTTAGTGTGGTTCAATGACAACTCCAATTTATACCACTGAAGGACTGAAACTCAAAAGAACAAACCCCATCAATTCAACTTCAAATTTGTATTAACATTTTCAAAGTTATACATTTATGAAACATACTAGTGACAATTTCCAACATCCATGTACAGTATTTGTAAATCTGTATTTAATTATTTTAGTGTCTCCCTCAATTTTCAAGTGACTGATGAACTTAAACAAAATGTGCAACTACACAGACACAAAGGTTACTGCAGTTGCTGGCTTATTACCTCTACTAAAACTATCAACAGCTGCTCTGTAATTAATTCTTCTGTAATGTATCTGTACTGTGTATGTCTTCTGCAACCAAGGAACTTGGAAAATCCAACACAACGTAGAAAATTAGTACAGGATGAAAGTCAACAATATTTCAAGACTTCCAATTACATTATAATTTTGGGCTTAAGAACACTCAGAATTAAGGCTGCGCAAGCTTTTCCATGTAATGGAGTCATTTTCAGTAGCTTTAACTTTTTCAGTCTTTGTAAAGCTTTTTGCTGAAATTTGGCAGGTTTGCTCTCTCTGAACAAACAAGTTAAAAGAATATAAGTCAATATAATTCAACTATAGGAGTGTAAAGAAGGGGGAAGCTACTCTCTTCACCACCATCCATTATAAAAATATTTTTGTATAAAAAGTTCTAGCACTTAGTGATCTGCAGCAAAAATCTGATAAGCAGATAATCCACAGGTTGCATGTGTGCCTTTTAGAAGCCTGGTAAAAATTGGCTATGATTTGTCATAGATCTCAAATATATCTTTCAGTGGCTGGTTGAAATCTGTCATACTTAAAATATGTTCTTTGCACAATGGATTCTGTAATACAATCTCCTAACAGTCTGCTACCACTCTATTGGTTATGTGCATGTATTCATTGCTGTGGAATGTTGTAGGCAGTGCTATGTTTTTTTCTCTATGATTAGTGTAGGTGAGTGAGGAAAGAGGTAGGGTGCTACATATGGAAAGAAGTTAGATCACAATGGAATCCTGCCACCCTCCACAAAATAAAGGAAAATGAATGTCCCCAGTGTCCCTGCCTTCTTGATAGCACAGTATACAATCTTAACATTTAAATATCAAGAAATGATAAAATATGATTGCATATCAATATCTCACTCTTTGTGCATGCTGAACAAGTAAAAAGACAAGATGGTGCAATGATTTGGGTCTGGGGTCCAGACTACCCTTGCTTTATTTGTTTGAAGTGAGGATGCTACAGATGACACTATATCCACTTCTACCATGACAGCTTAGAGCTAACAAACTGAACTGAGCCTTCTCCCCCTCCAGCTAGGTAATCTGCATTCTTTTTCTGCCTCTTTCAGAGATTTCCTATGCAACCTTGGACAGGATATTTAATCTCTCTGATTTGGCTCTGCATATGTAAAATAAGGATAATAATTCTTAACTTCATGAGCATCTTGAAAGGCTAATTCAATTTACATTTGCAAGGTTCTCAGGTACAAGTGCCAAACAAAAGCAAATAATATAAAACATTTTGGATTTGGAAGGTGTGCAGTATATGAAGCAGAGGGCCACACAGTGGAGGAACAAAGAAAATGAAGTGAAAAAACTCAACAGTTATTTCATTCACTGATGCCATTCTGTATTGTGTGAGCTAGAAATGCTATGGGAAAATAGTGCATGAACATAAAAGACTGTACTGTAATGCATACACATGCACAAGAGAGCAGAGTTAAGGTTGCACAAAACAATCTTAACTTTGTCATTTCATAACTTTGGAGCACTCCACTTTCCAAACTTAATACACTTGTAAGCTTTTTATAGGAAATAGAATAAAAAATGAATATAATTACTTATATTAATCCAACCTTCCTGTTCTTAAAAACAAATTCATTGGCCAATCAATTTTATAACAGATATTGATCTAGCTAGCTCATGAGTCATTACTTGTGAGTATGTATCAATCACTTCATTCTTTACTTGCTGTTGGAAAGAAATTGATTCAATCAAGCTTTGCAGTAATACATTATTGATTTATGCCAAGAAAATGGAATCATAATGAACCATGAGGGCCTTTACATAAAACACTGTAAGGACTCACATATTTGGCCTCAATAAGGATCTGCTAGCATGAATTCCTGCACTATTAGATCCTGATGAGGAACCAGGGGCCAAAGCAAGCAGTACTATTTTGTTAGTCATAAGAAACAGATTTTGGACAAGCTTCTGGATAATTTAGTAACTTTGGGATGCTAGACAAAACACTGTACAACAGGCATCATGCTTCATCTCCCACGTTTCATATACTTCAACTACAAATCCCCGTAGGTTTTTACAATCAAGTCTGTTCTAAATGAAAAAAAAAATAATGTGACTTATACAAAGTCTTAACTCTTCCCCATTCACATCAGCTCAATCTATGTTCTAGAAGCTATTAATTCTTCCAGAGCTAACTACACCTTAACAGAAATTCTCACTAGCCTAGACTACCTCCTTTCCCATTTATGATGGCTTATCCTTCCTACGGCAGATACAGCAATTTATTCTTAAATGCAAAACTAAAATACATGCACTTCTATCCTAAGGTTAAATGTCTTTTAATGAAATTTAGCATCTTACAATACAAAGAAGCTAGCCACAAACCACTGTGAAGAGCTCTGAAGTCCACTCGTTTGGGAATAACTAGTCATTCGTTAGGGGAAGAGAGTGCCTTTTTTAGTCCAATTACTGCTTTACCAGATTTCACAGAGATATGAAAAGACAATAGTGAGAAAGAGAGAACCTTGTGGCTGGTACATTTCCTGTTTCAGACAGGCATATTTTACAACTATAAAACTGTCTACATCAATCCAAGCTTGCTAAAGCTAAACTAACTGTACTGATTTTTTGCCACATGTCCATTACTTCTTGTATATTCAACCAGTGCTCCTATAAGGCCCCGGCAATGACATCTATAGTTAGGACTGCCTCGTATTTTGATATACATTTTACAGTAGAAGCACTGAATGGCTGAAATGTAATGTAATGGTCCATAGTCTCTCAAGATACATCCTTTCAAAAAGGACTGTGCTTCACAGTGTTCCTAAGACAAAAAATAAATGAAAAAGACACTTGCACCACCACACAAAAAAGATCGTGTTATTTTTATACGAATTTAATTGTTGAAATAATGGGTAAAATATGAAATTGAAATGGATACCAAAAATACAACCAGTACATCTTTCTAGCTGTCCTCTTTTCTGTAACTGCATCTAACTGATACTGAACCAACCCCATCTTCAGGGAAGGCACACACACTGTATAGTACACAAACACTTTGTGAAATTCCTTAGAATGGAGAGAACCCACACAAAAGGGTCCTGAAAAGCGCAAAGTAAATTATGTGCCTTAATACACTTAAACAATAAAACAAAAATCACATAAAAACAGATACTGGAGAGAAAAGGAAACAAATAGTTCCCCACCCCTTTAGGAACACATTCTTTTTAGTCAGATAGCTTTCTGAGGGGTGGGATTGATTGCCTAGTCTACTTCTCTACTCAGATGGGTGAGAGGAATCCCTGGATAATTGTCTCTCCTATACACAGTAATTGGGTGGTGGGAATCCTTGGATCTTTTACTTACATTTTTAAGGGGAGCAGGGGGACTTTTCCTAAGCCATTTTAAACAAACACAGAGCAATAGGGAAAAGGGAATTACACACACACGCACGCTCTCTTACACACACTCACAAGCACGGGGAGTAGCTATTTCCCCACATATCACATGGATGGCACAGAGCTAGATCCCACAGATCCACGCTACGAGGGGGGCTGCCCTGGGAATTTCACACACATGCCTACCAGAGGCGCCCCCTGGGGACGAGGGGACTTCACACGCACAAGAAGGGGGGATTCCCCTGGCTAGCCGCTTAGCCCCTCACACCCATGTAAGGTGGGGGCAGCACTCACACCCCTCTGCCGCCCGGCGCGTCAATCCCTCCGCTCACACAGCTCTGCACGCTCCCTCCAACATCCCCTCTTGATTGCAACAAAGCCAGAGGGAGGGAGGGTGTCGGCACGGAGCTGGCCGCCCCCTCCGCTCGCCGGGGCCCGCCCGCACCATGCGAACGCAGCACCTACCAGGCGGGCAGCCTCGGCCCAGGTGCGGTCCTTCTTCTTCCTCTTGTCTTTCATGTTTGCATCTCATTGAGATGGTTCTAGGGGGGCGGGGGGAGGGCGGACAGGAACGTG